ATAAAACATGTCTGGTAGTATCCCTTCCTTTTCAATTTTTTGAAAAAGTTTGTATAGGCTAGGCAGGCACTAGTTCATTTCTGAACATTTGGTAGAATTCATTTGTAAAACCATCTGATCCTGGGCTTTTGTTTTTGGGAAGGGTTTTGATTACTGTTTCAACTTCACTGCTTGTAATTGGCCTGTTTAGGTGTTTGTTTGTTTTTTTAAAGTAAAGCATTTATTTTATTTTTTTAAAAGATTTATTTATTTATTTGTTTGTTTGTTTGTTTGTTTATACAAACACTGGGTACAGTCAGAAGCGCGGGAGGGTGAGAGAATTCACCAGGGCCAGAACAGAGAGCAGAACAGGCAGACTGATGAAGTACACTGCTGAGGGGAGCAGGGGTGGCAGGAGAGAGGTCTGCGTGCCATGTGGGACCCTCACCGGGCTGCCGGGGATTGAGCAGGCGCTGCAGAGGCTGTGGGCAGCTTTGCAACCCAGCGCTTAACCACTGCACCACCAGGGAGGCCCTAGGTGTTTTATTTCTTTATCTAGCTTTGGATGATTGTAAAGTTGTAGGAATTTGTCCATCTCTTCTAGATTGTTGAACTTGTTTGCATATAACTGTTCATAGTAATCTCTGATTATTCTTTTGATTTCTGCTGTGTCTGTTGCAATTTCTCCTCTCGTTTATGATCTTATTTATTTGTGTTTCCCCCATTTTTTCTTTGTGAATCTGGCTAGAGGTTTGTCTATTTTGTTTATTTTTTCAAAGAACAAACTTTTGGTTTTATTGATCTTTGGGATTGTTTTTCTTAACCTCTATTTCATTTATTTCTGCTTTGTTTTTTATTATTCCCTTTCATCTATTGAGACTTTTGGGGGTTTTTTTGTTGTTCTTTTTCCAGTTCTTTAAGATGGGAGATTAGGCTGTTTCTTTGAGTTCTTTCTTATTTTTTGATGTGAGCCATTATTGCTATATATTTTCCTCTTATAATTGCTTTTGCTATGCCCCATACATTCTGTAGAGTTGTGTCCTCATTATCATTCATCTCAAGCTATTTTTAATTTTTTCTTTGATCTTCCCATTGATCCAATGATCTTCCAGTAGTGTGGGTTTCAATCTCCATGAGATAGGAGGGTTCCTTGCTTTCTTTTCATGGTTTATTTCTAGTTTGGTGCCTTTATCATCAGGGAAGATAGTTGGTATGATTTGATCTTAGTGTATCTGTTGATGTTTGTCTTGTGTTCCAGTAGGTGATCTGTCCTGGAGAATGATCCGTATGCACTTAAGAAAAACGTGTACTCTGATTTTTTTGGGTGCAGTATTCTGTAGGTGTCTGTTAAGTCCATGTGGTCTGGTTCCTTGTTTAGAGCTCTAGTGTCCTTGCTCATTTTTTGTCTCGTGATCTATCCATTGGGGAGAGAGGTGTATTGAAGTCTCCTACTACATATGTATTTTCTCTAATGTCTGTTTTCAGAGATGATAATAATTTTCTGATATATTTTGTTGCTCCTTCATCTGATGAGTATATGTTGATGAGTGTTATATCTTCTTGATGTATTGTTCCCTTAATCATAATGTAGTAACTGTCTCTTTATATCTTTTTTAGTTTGAAGTCTATTTGATCTAAGTATAGCTGTTCCTGCCTTCTTTTTGGTCCATTTGCTTGTAGGATTGTTTTCCATCCTTTTACTTTCAGCCTGTATTTATCTTTTGTAGTTAAGTTAGTTTCCCAGAGGAAGTGAAAGTTTGATTTTTTTTTAATCCAGCCTGCTACTCTGTGTCTATTTATTGATGAGTTTAGTGCATTTACATTTAGAGTTAATATTGATATGTTGGCATCTGTGTTTGCCATTTTTTTTGTCTTTTTGTGATTTTATTCTTTTTCTTATTCTTTCTTATTCATTCCTCTGTTATTTTTGGTTTTAGGACTTCTTGTAGTAATTTTTGGAGTGGAGGTTTAGCCCTAATGAATTTCTGTAGATTCTGTTTGTCTGAAAAGGTTCTTATTTTTTTCTTCATAGAGGAAGGAGAGCTTTGCAGGGTATAGTATTCTTGGTTGGCATTTATTGTCTTGGGTTTTGTTGAATATGTCACTCCATTTTCTTCTTGCCTGTAGTGTTTCTTTGGAGAAGTCTGATGTCAGCCTGATTAGTTTTCCTTTATAGGTTATCTGTTTCTTCCCCCTGTCAGCTTCATTATTTTTTCCTTGTCTTGGACTCTTAAAAGCTTTACTATTATGTTTCTTGCTGTAGTTTTCCTTTCATTGTGGTAATTCAGTGTTCTTCTCACTTCTTGTACATCTATCTTCATCTCCATCATGTTCAGGGACTCAGTTTTATTCTTCAGATCATTAATTATTTTTCTCATATCATTCTTTTCCTTTTTGTCTTCTGTATGGTTTTTTTTTTTTTTTTGATCATGATTATTTTAAATTCTCTAACTGGCAGAGAAATTCTTCCATATCATTATTGTTGACTTCTGATTGCTGATTTACTTTTTGTGGACTGTTCTTCCCCGGAGGGCTTACTTGGTTATTTGTACTATTCCTTCTCCCTTTTGTTTCCTAATTTGTTCTGTGCATTGGGACACTGTGCCGCTGGTACTGGCAAGCATCCTTTTGGGGTGCCCCTTCTGGGATGCCAGGAACTGGTGGCCAGATCAAGTCTAGCACTGTTATGCCAAAACTCCACTAGGGCAGTGGTAATGCAGATATGTTGATGGGCGCTGACCCTGAAAATCCCCTCCCTCTGTATTTACTTCATTCCAGAGGGGCTCCTTGAGGACCTGTCCTGCAACTCCCTGTCTCGCAACAATGGCTCTAGGGCTGTGCTTCCCCAGTGCCCACAGTTCACCTTGATGGAGGATACTCCTCTCAGCTCCAAATCGCAGATGGTCCACAGGGCCTGGCTCATGCGCACTTTCTAGGTCACCTCTCTCTGCAGAACCTGCCCCCTCTCAGTTACACAGAGATTTCATGGGGTCCCTGATCCCCAACTCCCTGTCTTGCAACAGTGGTGCCTGGAGTGCACTTCCCCCAAGAAACTAATTATTATAAAATTCACATTATTTCGCTGTAACCTGCTGAGGATGCACCAAGAATTACTGGCACATTTTTGTAATATTGTATTATCAGCACTGAAATTTAATGCTTTGTGACTATTAATTAATTCTGTTATAGATCAATGCTGTTAGCAATTTTTTCTGTATGTCTTATATCCCTAACTAGACAGAAACTTCCTTGTAGTAAGCACAATTTGTTTTTAATGATCTTTGTATAGTCCTTAATTAATCCTACACATATATAAATTGCTTAAGTTAGAAAGTGATGACATAAATATATTTATATTTTAGACTAATACTAAATGACTGAAAATGGAACCAAACATCCCATAGGTGAGATCATTTGCCTAAGCTTTTTTTTTTTAAAGATTTATTTATGGATGCATACAAGAACTGTGGGGTACAGGCCAGAGTTGTGGGGGCGGGGGGGGGGTGAGAGGATTCACTAGAGAAAGAGTAGGAGCAGAACAGGTGGATTGACTGAAGTACACTACTGAGGGGAGCAGCGAGTGAGTCAGGAGATGTCTGCTGCACCATGTGGGTCACCTCCCCAGGGATCAAACTGTGGGTAGGTTCATAGTGCTGTGTCTTAACCCTTGTGCCACTAGGGAGGGCCCTGCCTGAGCATCTAAGTGGTAGTCAGGACTCAACACTGCCCACAAGGCCTGGACCCTGATCATACTTGGATGGTTAGGATAAAACCAGGTAAGTGTGTGATGTTTAATATAGTATCCAACCTATGCCTGGCTCCCAAACAGGAGTTCAGTAAATGTTGGTTTACCTGCTATTGGTTTTCAGCCTGCTCTCATATTTATTTATCCTTCTACTCCGGAAACCCCATACAGAAGCATAACCACATATTCGCTCATGGTCATCTTTTCACAATCCAAGTTCACATGCAGGTGTCTAGGAAATGAGGTATTAAACTTCTAGTCATATGTTCTTCCTCATTGTGTCAAATGAGTCCTAGGACCAATCTCTGCTCTCACATTTCTCCAAAACAACTATAAATACAAACTCACTAATCAGAAACTGGGTTAGAAAACATATGCACATGCAATAGTCCAATATATAAGTGAATTCAATATGATTTTTTCCCATTATCGAGGGAAATGCCAGAAAAGTTACCATGAGTGAAGCCAAAGACTTTTGGCTTTGGTAGTGGAAATCGGGAGGCAATGGTGAAATGAGGTAAGAAATTCCAGGGCCAGAAGGTGGACCGACGCAAATCATCAACTGCATTTCCCAGGAGCTTGCTCTTTTTGGCTAAGCTCTACACGCACAAGCTCCAACCCGCAGCCTAAGCCTACAGTCCCCTCCACCCAACTCTGCACGTCAGGCTCTGCACGTCAGACTCGAACAGATGCACACACCGCGGGGAGCCTCATTTGCAAGAGATGAGTGTTCCCTGGCTCGATTTTAACGTTTGCCGCCAGGCCATGGGAGGATTTGTCAGAAACCGCGGACAAGTGCGACAGCCAAGCACAGACTAGGAGGCCCAGGAGCGGCAGTATTTAATACTGCAAGGCAAAAGCACTTTCCCTCCCGTCGGCTCGCAATTTCGGAGCCGGTTCCGACAGCCGCGGGCAGTGCCCTGCGGGTTCTGCAAGGTGGGCACTGCGGGGTCGCGGGCAGAGCCGCCCCGGCACCGGAGCAGAAGGCCGCTAGGGAACTGCACCTCGCGGCCGCGCCGGGGTACAGCAAGGCCGGGTAAACGCCCGGCCCGGCACCGCAGCGGAAGCCAGGTCCAAAGCGCGCCTGGCTCCCGGCGGCAGGGCAGGGCCCCGACTCCAGCCGGCGCGTTCCCGGGGCGCGCGCCGCCCGACCACTGCGCCTGCGCACGCGGGCCCCGCCCCACGCCGCCCCCGCGGCCGCGCGCCGCCGTCGCGTAGCAACGCGAGAGTCACAGTCGCCTGCCGCGCGCCCCTTCCCCGCGGGGCTGGTCCCCGACCTTCCCGAGAGGCCCCTCACTGCTCGCGTCCGGCCGCAGCCGCCCATGCAGGGAAAGGAGGAGACGCGGCAGTAAGTGCGGGGGGGTCTGCCCTCTGTCTTCCCCACAGGAAAACCTGTTCCTCCGGCAGAGGGAGGGTCAGTGAGACCTGGGCGTTCCCTGCTCTCACCACCGCCCCCCTTCAGTTCCTGTGCTTAAGTGCTCACAGGCTGTAAACAGTTTTAAAACGCACGTTCTTCCAGGCACATGCTGGCCCTTCACATGCACTGTTTGGCCTAAGATTAAGTCATCTTGAATCATGCTCTCTTCCCATTCCACATCTAAATCATCAGCAAATTCTGCAGGCTCCACCTTTAATCTATTCAATGTATCCCCAACCCGCCACTATTCAGTCTTGTCAATGTCAACCTGGCCAGACATCAGCTCTCCTACCTGGTATGGCAGTGGTCTTTGTTGCTCTCCTTTTCGTGCGGCAGCCTCCTCAACACAGCATTAGAAGTGGTCTTTTTACAACTTGAGTTAGAGCAGTTAGTTCTCCACTGCAGAGTAAAAGCCAAGTCGCCTACAATGGCCAGAGGCCTACATCGTGCCTCTTTTCCCTAACCTACACTATCTGCTCTTTACCTTCCTTTAATAGGACTCTGCTCCAAGAACACAGCCTCTTTGCTATCTTCTGCAGTGGTTCTCTCTAAGTACGGGCCCCCAACCGGCGTTAGCATCGCCTGGAACTTATTAGAAATGCAAATGCTTTAGTGCTCTCCCTCACAGACACATAGAATGGAATCAGAAACTCTGGGAGTATAGGGTATAATAATCTGGGCTTTAACAAGACTTCCAGGTATTTCTGATGTACTCTAAATTTTGAGAACTATTGAAGTATTATGTCATTATTACATGAATTACATATATCTGCTTCCAAAGCCTATATTTTAGTGGGTCTCAAACTTTAACACATATGAGATCATCTAGCAAGCTGGTTAAAACAATTTCCTGGATAAATGCCCCAGAGACTGATTTCTAGTTTGAGATGAGGCCTGTGAATCCATATTTCTAACAAAATGACAATTGCTGCTACTGTGGGTCCACACTTTGAGAAGCACCATTTTAACAACAGGTGCTTCTGCTGCAAAGATTTTTAATTACAGATCACTCTGCTGGAATGTTCTTCCATCAGATATCCAATTAGCTCTCTCCCCTTTCTTGTCTTTTTCAGTTTCCACCTTCATAATGCAGCCTCCACCCTATCAGTGCAACCTGCCACCCATACACATGCATTCCATTTCCCAAGGGGTTAAGACGCAAACTATGAAGCTAACTGCAGCCACCACAGCACGAGTTTTATCCCCCGCCAGGGAGTTTTATCCCCCGCCAGGGAGTTTTATCCCCCGCCAGGGAGCAACCCGTATGGCACAGCAGACCTCTGCTGACTGACCCGCTGCTCCCCTCAGCAGTATATTTCAGTCAATCTGCCGGTTCTGTTCCTGACTGTCTCTGGCAGATCCTCTCACTGCCCACACCTCTGGCCTGTACCCCCGTTTTTGTATGCATAAATAAATCTTAAAAAAAAAAATTATGAGATGAGAAAAACCTGGTGCCAGAAGTCTACAATGATAATTATGCTCTTTAATATTTATATCTCTGGAAAGATAATAGAAAAAGTTTTAGAAGTTATTTACACTTTATCAGTAATCAGTTTTACCAAATCCTTTGCCAATAACAATTTTGGCTGGATTGCAAGGAACTACAATCCAATTGATGTTCTTGTGTTTTGGAATGAGGGTTGAGGTGTACCGCTAAAACAGAGTAAAAGACTTAAGGCAGATTCTCCAGAAATATGTATATTATAAAGTCAATCTATTTACCTGCAACAAATAGGATGTGTGTCCAGATGTTGGGCCCAATGATGAATGAAACAGTCTTCTCCTTCATGGAAGAAACAGTCTTCTCCTTCATGGAACTTACTGACTATAAAGAGTATTTGTAGGGATTACCAAAAACAAGTAAACCAAAAAAGTAGATACATGTAGATTGTGGTTATAAATGAAATGAGCAAAGTACTAAAATAGAGATTTCACAGGATATGAAGGGGGTGGGTGTCGGAATCTAGGAAAAACTTCTGAGGAGATGACTTTTAAGTTGAAACCTAAATGACAATAAATCAACTGTGCAGGAAGCTGGGAAGAGCAGTAGAAGCAGAGGGGACTGCGTGCAAATGATCTGGTGTACATTCCCATGTTTGGGAAGTGACTGGCATGTTCCAGGAACTGGAATAAGTGAGGGGAGACCTTGAGTGTGGTAGAAGAGATTAGCTGAAGGAGGATCACACAAAGCCTTAGAGCTATGATAAGGAAAGGGACATTTTACTCTACATGCAATGGAAAGTCATTTGAGAGTTTTACTTGAAAAATGATATGATAAAGTAAATGGACCTGGCTTTGGTTTGAAGTAAGGTAGGGATTATATTTTTGTATGCATTAATAAATAAATCTTCCAAAAAAAAGCTTCTATGTAAAAATGATTCAAATTCATATATTTTATTGTTACCCATACTTTCAACTATGTGAAAATTTAAAATACTACCTTTTATAATGTCCATTACTCCTTACTTAAAAGGAGAAAAAAATTATACAAATTTTCTTTCTAAACATTTCTTAACATTTTAAAACTTCAATAGTTTTCTTTTTTGTGCCAGTGTAGCAAAAAGGTATGAAACTCACTTAACCATTCTGATGTCTGCATAGTGGGCTTTTCTTGAAAAGATAAAAATAACAGTGATCATTTGGTATCTTTTTTAAGTTTGCCAGGTGAGATTTTAAAATTAGTTATCCTTATTCACATGCTTGAATCTAATAGGTAACTGACTTTTTTTTAAGATTTATTTTATTTATGCATACAAGAGCTGGTGTACAGGCCAGAGGTGTGGGGCATAACAGGATTCACCAGAGACAGAGTGGGGAACAGAACAGGCAGATTGGTCAAAGCACACAGCTGAGAGGAGCAGTCGGGGAGACAGAAGAGGTCTGCTGTGCCATGTGGTTGCTCCCTGGCCGGCCGGGGGGGGGGGGGGGGGGGGGGGGGGGGGGGGGGGGATCAAACTAGTACTGCAGAGGCTGCAGAGCTTCATAGTATGCGTCTTAACCCCTTGCGCCACCAGGGAGGCCCCTAATAGGTAACTAACTTTTAAAGAAGATGCTTTAAGATTAGCATGTAACTTAGCCACTTGCATAAATCCTGCAAGCAAGATCTGTAAGCATGATTAAATCTCCTTTTTCTTACTCTAAGCAAATGAGTTTGTACACTGCACCGAGAAACTCTAATGACTACTGACAAACTCTAATCACTACTGACAAAAATCCCTTTATTTCTTGTATGTTTTAGAATGAGAAGATACCCTTCCAAATTTTAATAGTACAAGCACTTTATAACCTTTAATTAAGCCTAAATTGTCTTGACTGATAGTTGAAATATATCTAATTTTTTTTTTCTATAATAAAGACTCACTACCGAAATGCTTTGGGGGATTATTTACTATTTAATTCTGTTTTTCAGACAGTATAAAATAGAAGATGCTGGTATAATGTTTGTAACTGAAAAGAAAGAAGAAAGCAAATATGAGAAAAAACCTGGAAAAAATATACAACATTCAAAACCATGTATTGGGAGAGGACGTGTATGTTACGCTAAATTCATTAACACAAATTCAAGAACACTGAATGAACCAGTTCCCTACATAGATCCCAAAAAAGGGCAAGAAAATCAGGTTGGATGGATGTTCGTTATACACAGATTTAGATTTAGATTCAGAAGTTCTTTTGCAGGACAGTTTGGTCATTGCCTACTTGAAGAATGTGACATAGACTATATAACTTTATAATCCAATGTTAAAAGCAGTAACCTGAAACTATTCTTAGAGGTAATTTTTGCATACTAACAAAATATATGGAATCCAAATTATAGTTTCCTAGATTAGGGTAGATTGTAACTACTCAGTAGTGGTGGGGATTCTGAAGAAATCTCTTCTATAATACTGTATTAGAAATACAGACTAATAAAAAATTTTGCATGATACTCAATAATTCAGCTACTTCCTATAAAATAATTGCTATCATCTATTGAAAGTATTTGAAGTGCTAGGAATGGATTGAATATTCTATATAAATTATATCCTTAAATCTGTACAATAATTATTAGAAGGTATTTTTAGAAATATTTTATAGATGTTAATATAGTCTAGTAAACAAACGTCACTCGTGCTTCTGATCCAGGACTGTTGGCCTAGCCATGCCACACATTTTACGCTGTATCATACTGAATATGTACTATCTTTTTTTGTTGTTTAAGTTGTATTTGTTGAGGTATAACTTACTAGTTTCATATTGCTGCTGTTAAAAATTATCACAAACTTAAGCACTGACTTAAAGCAATTAATATGTATTCTCCTACAGCGCTGGTGCTCTGAAGTCCAAAATCTGACTCAGTGGCCCATTCCTTGGAGGCTCTAAAGGATAATCCATTTCCTTGTTTTTCCAGCTTCCTGAGACTGCTCACATTCCTTGGCTCCAGTCCCTTTCCCTTCAAAGTCAGCAGCACACCACATTCAAATCTCTGACTGACTCCTGCCTTCCTCTTCCAAGGACCTTTTGGTTACATCCAGATAATCTGGGGAAATCTCCCTTTCTCTAAGACCCTTCATTTAATCACAGCTGCAAAGTCCCTTTTGCCATGGAATGTTAGGTATAATTATGTTAGGTATGGCTGTGATTTAACAACTTTTAAATGGAGATTGCTTCCTGTGAGGTCTCTTTGTACTGATACTATCAAATGTTCTTATTAGAACATTTGGGGAAATTAAGGGAGATTCTTTGGAGGAGGTTTCCAAACACCACCAGCACTTTGTGAGATCTTGCCACAGGAATTCTTAGAGTCAAATGTACTGTCATATCAGGTAGTGAATTGTTACAAGGTCAGTTTTAAGGCTATTTTATAATAATTGTTTGGAATTTAAAAGAAGGGACAGACCAACCTTACATTGGGGAAATAAATCAGGCACAGAAATCCAGGTTAATAATGTTCTCTTATTTCTTACAAAAAGTTAATGAATGCCTCTTCTGAACTCTAGTTCAGGGCTGAATTTAAGCCCAACGGTTCACTGAAGCCATCCTTGGAACCAGTAAGAAGCTGGTTTGAGAAAAGAAATGTGAAATATAAAATTTTTGAAAATTAATCCAACTAACTTTCTTTTGCTCCTGGTTTGTAGGTGTTTTGGGAAAAAAATATAAGCAAACCAAGGGGCTGCTTTCTGGGATACTGGGCAACAGAGTAGCAGTACACTCTTTATTAGTGCTGAGAGCTGTCTAAGTCAGACCTTTAGGAAATGGTAAAAGTAAGCTTGAAATGAAGTAAGATCATAATAGGTAAGAGGGGTTGGTAGTGGACATTAGTAAAAGTTACAGAGACCAAAGATACACCACAGAATTAAAGGCATGTTTGATTTGGGAGAAGAGTGAAGGGAATGTTCATATTAAAAATAAAACAACAGAAAAATCTTCAATGTGCTAATTTGCAAGTACCTAAGGAAAAATAAAGAGTGCTCATTTCCTTACTTGTTCTTTTAAGGCAGCAGGTTTCTTTTTAAAGTTTAGCTTGGTTTAAGAAAAAAATAATTGGTTTATAGTAATTCTGGCTTTACAATAAAGAATAAAATAGCCTAAATATTTAAAATAACATATTTATTGTCTTATGTATTTTGCTAAAAGTTATATTTTTAGAACACCAGATTGTTGATTTTACCTATTTACAAGATTTTTAAATTCTTCCTAGGGACATAAGTTGAAGATGCTACAAAAGGAGTTTTAATTCAGTCATTTTCAATGAAAATTAGCTTGTCATATTTTTAAATATTAGTAATTTAAAAGATATACTAAGACAATATTTCCCAAAGTGTATATCTGAGAAATCCTGTGATAAACTTATTTAATTGTGCTTATCTCAGTATTTCCCAAATTTATTTTATTTATTTTATTATTGTATAATACTGTTAATATACTGCAGAATGAGTGTTCTGCAGAGCACAATGTAGGACTAACTTACTGAGGATATTATGAATTGTTTAAAAGAAGGTATTTCTTAGCACTACTTTTGGTACCCACAGCAAGGTAGAGATACAGTGATAATTAGATACACTATAATGCTGGTGTTTGTAGTAGCCTTCATTTTTTAAATCTAATGAGCTCTACTAATAAAAAGTAATTTATTTATGCGGTAGGTGTTGTTAAAAGTCCATATTCCTCTAGGAGTCCCTAAGGTGTGTTTTTATGCTCCATACACGCCCACCAGCACACCAGCCATCCTGCCAGGCTACTGTGGCTACAGCTGTGGAGCTCAGCTTACCACCTCTTGCATTCTTCTAACTGGTTTCTTCAGGATGTCCCACTACTTCTCTCTAAGGATTCTCTCTTAATTTCCCCCCAAATAGAACATAAGTAACGTTTACTAACACATTTCCAAAGATTTCTGCTTAGAGATACAAAAATATAAGACTGCCTCACAGTGGTTTCCATATGTGGCTAAGGATCTATATCTAGCACCACAGAGGTTAAGTTTCATAGGCCAGGTTAGTGGGAATCTGGTCATTAGCAATCTCCAGGCCTTACCCTTTACCAAGACTCAATAACTGTCATCCAGGAGCAGGAAAGGATACTGAACTAGCCTTGGCCAGAAAATGAGAACTTCCTTCTTTCTCTGGATCCAGAGTTTTATCCTGTGTCTCTAGGCAGCTCCAGGCATAATCTGTGAGGTGTGGTCTGACCTCAAAGCCTCGACAAAGCAATCAGACTAGAGGATTTTTCCCACTGACTTGATTCATCATAACTCTGTGTCTACCTCTTACCATCCAGTGTAAATGATGGCACACAGAATAGTAAATTTTTATTCTTAGTTTTCCCCTGCAGTCTGAGGTGAAGCAAAAAACAAGCCTCCATCAGGTCTTTAATCTTACAGTCTCCTAGGAGCAAGTTTTATATATCTAGGAGAAAATGCATGGACCAAAACAGCGTGCACATGTACATGGCATATCCAAGCTCTTACTCTTACAGGAACAAATCAGTCTTCAGGCACAGGGGAGACTCCCCCAAAATAGAAAATATTAAAAAACTTGAATTATAGGATTTAATTCTGCTGAAGTGATGATTCATCCAATTTACAACACTAATCAGAACACTTTCACCAACCATGGAGTCTTAAAATCACCAATCACACTTTAGGGAAAATTGTTCATTATTTCCTTTACATTTATGAAACAGACCATTTTAGTAAAATTATAAATTCCCAAAAAGTCTTCTTGAAATATGAACTGATATCTCTGCTTTAAGGATAGCTTCTGATAATACTCTTGGTTTTTTTTTTTTTAATTTTTGCATAGAAGAACTGGGGTGTAGGCCAGAGGTGTGCAGGGGTTGGTCGGGAGGTGAGAGGATTCACCAGAGACACAGTGGGGAGCAGAAAAGACAGATTTACTGAAATACACTGCTGAGGGGAGCAGCGGGCAAGTCAGGAGGGGTTTGCTGTGCCATATGTGTAGTTAGCTCCCCTGCCAGGTACTGAACTCAGGTCATAGTGATAGCTGTGATAGCGCTGAGACTTAACCCCTAGGCCACCAGGGAGGACCTATACTCTTGTTTAAGAAAAAATTGAAGTCAGGGATTTTCTAATGGTTTGCATATTCCAGACTAACATTTCCAGTAATCTGGGCATTAGCAAAATAAGTTTCTGATCCACAAATGATGTTGTAAAATATATGCCTTAAAACCTTACCATAGAAGATATTTCTCAGGATGCTTAAAGCCTTCTTATTTTTACTTTTTAAATTTAATTTATTTATTTTTTATATAATTGTTCCTTTTTAAACAACATTTGCTTCCCCCCACCCCCTCAGGTGTAGTCCCCATAGAGTTTCCTTCACCAGTGCACCCATGCACCATCACCTCAGTCCCCTGTGCTCTTCCCGCCCTCCCTCTGATTCCTCCCCCTCCTCCTCCCCTGCAGTATGTCTCTGATTTATAATTGTCAGTTTTTGCTTTGTTGTGTTTTGTCAAAAAAAAAAAAAAAAAAAGCAACAACAAATGTTGGTGAGAATGTGGTGAAAAGGAACTCTCCTACATTTCTGGTGGGAGCGCAAACTGCTCCAGCCACTATGGAAAGCTGTCTGGAGGTTCCTCAGTCTATTAAAAATGGAGCTACCATATGACCCAGCAATTCCACTCCTAGGGATCTACCCAAAGGACACAAAAACATTGACCTGTACACCTATGTTTATTGCAGCACTGTTTACAATAGGTAAAACCTGGAAACTACCCAAATGCCCCAAAATAGATGACTGGATCAAGAAGATGGGCATATATACACAATCGAGTATTATTCAGCAATCAAAAAAGATAAACTCATGCTATTCACAGCAATGTGGATGGAGCCTGAAGGAATTATGCTCAGTGAAATAAGCCAGAAGGAAAAAGAAAAATATTGGATGGTTTCACTTATAGCAGGAATATAGGGAAACCAAATAAGACATCAGTGTAAAAAAATAACAGTACAAAACACAACAAAGCAAAAACAATTATTTTTACTTTTGAAATAAATGTGCATATCTGGCTGTGCATTCCATAGCAGATTTGAAAGGCCACGTAGCACAGAAATGAGCTGTGCACACAAATAAATAGTGGGGGCTGGGCTTGTGGCAACTTGGGGAGTTTACTGAATCTCTCAGCATTTCTTTCATCTGTTCACTGGGTTTAACTAATAAAATTTTGGTGGGTGTAAGCGTGAAGAGACCTATAATTCTTAGACTTAGGAGCATAATAAACATTTCAAAAATGAAGTGGAGTGGAAAAGAGCTGCAAAAAGACTGCACTCTGACAACAGCAAATGTGACTATTTTGAACCAGTTTGAAGACACCATCTGCTTAGTGATCTGTGCTAGAATTCCTAGGATCTCTATCATAGTCTTAATTTTCACAATTCACCTTAACCCACTCTGACAAATAAGGCATGAGCCTCTACTCTCCGCTCAACTTCCCTTGTTCTTAAATTTCTTTGCTCTCTGTAAACTTTCATTCCCCTTGTTCCAATTTGTCATTGGTTGGCACTCTGTTGAAAGTTGCAAAGTGAGGTCTGACTCTTCAGCTGTCAGGGCTTAGTTCCCTCTTTGGTACATATCCATCCAATTTTTTCCCCTCAGAAATCCCTAATTTTGCTACTTTTGTCATATTTCCTGAATTTCTTCTAAACTTCTTGACAATATCCTCACAAGTTGACTCCCTTTATTTTTTTTTATTTGCTAATGTGTACCTCTTTTCTATGCCCATCTTTTTTAGAAATTAAGTTCATTTGAGAGCTGACTCCCTATGTGCCCACATCGGTTTCCATAGGTTTCTTTTAATGCCTTTTATTTTTTCATATCAAAGTAGCTTCAATGACATTGTAAGAATATTATTTATTATAATCCTACTTCTTGGAAATTCATATTCAACCCTTTGAATCATATTTTTAAAGTCTTTGACTACAGAATCATAGTTGATCTTTAAAAAGTGAATCTTTTTCCTAAAGCATAAGGCAGGTAGGTGTTTGATTATGCTCAGGGTCACTTTCATTTCCTAATAATCATTTCCAAGAACTCCAAGGTGTCACGGTTGCTTTCTCCCAAGGTTCCCTCTCTTCTACCTGATCAACCAGATTGAAAAAAAAAATTGGTCAGAATTAAGTAAGTTTCCCTCACTGTTTTCTGAACTTGTAAGAGATCAAATTGTTATAAGTGCTAATGAAGAACCTATCTGTTCTCCTTTTCCTGTGTACATATGTTGAGGTTTACTATCAAAAAATCAGTGACATTGCAAATAGTACCTCTTAGAACAAAATTTTACAAATTGAGTCATTAGTGAAATAAAAATCAATGTGGGTTGCAACCAACTTTGTACTATTAAATTGAGAGATGCAATAAAATGGAAAAATAGCTGAGTGTACTGCAGAGTAAGAGTAACTTTTCTGAAACTTGTGTGCATTCTGTGTACTCTTGATAACATAAAATGTATTTCCTGATGGGGGTCACAGACTAAAAACTTTGAAAACCACCATCTTAGATTATAATACATTATTTGTATTGCCATAAGACAAAGTATAGAACATAATTTTTAGACTAAAACATGTTTTATATATGCATTTACATGCATTTTATAATCCATGCAATTTTATAATAAAATTATAAAACATGGAAAAATAAATTTCTTTTTACTATCCCACCTGTTAACAGAAGGTAGTTTAAGAATTTAGTACTGGCTCTTCAGCTAAAAATACATGATTCATTTTAGATACCTCTTAAGAAATTCAGTCTTTATGAAAATATATTTACTCTGAACTCTATTTTAGTGCTAGAATAGACAGTAACTTGCTGAATTGAATTACTGACCATTCTAGACATCAAGCAGCAAATGAAAATGTCCTGCAATACCTAATTGTCTGTTTTCAATTCTTTTCCCATAAAGGGTGACTGGTGGTCACATGGTAAAGAACTGAAACTTCCCTTCCAGCCACCTTACGACACTAAGAGCACCCAGAGGAGTGACTTCCAAAAACCAACATGTCCATTGGTTTTGCCAGTCAGACACAGCAAGTTGCAAAAACCCTCTTGTGGAATAGGTAAGGTTAGCAGTGGAAAAAGCTTTTCCATTGTCAGGTTACTGCTAGTAAATTAAGATGTATTAGTTGTGCTGGAAACTCCTGAGAAAGTTACTTCTCTACAGGAGATGAAAACATATATATAGCAAGTATGACCCTTGACAAGATTGTACTTTATCTCTTCCTAGTGGGCAACTTATCCCCAAACACTTTTAATATAACAATAAAATCATATTGCTCATTGATAACACTAGTCTCCAAGTAAGAAACTTAGTGGTATTCTGCTCATCATTGTTGCAAAAATTTTTAAATTATAACTATTAAACTTGTAGGCAATACTATATGGGAATAATTCTTTTTTTTTTTTTAAGATTGATTTATTTATACAAGCACTGGGTACAGTCAGAAGCGTGGGAGGGTGAGAGACTTCACCGGAGCCAGAGCAGGGAGCAGAACAGGCAGAAGGACCGAGGTACACTGCTGAGGGGAGCAGCGGGCGCAGCAGGATAGGTCTGTCGCGCCATGTGGGACCCTCGCCGGCGGCCGGCCGGAGATCCAACACCAGCAGCTTCGCAGCCCAGCGCTCAATGGCTGCCCCACCAGGGAGGCCTGGGAATAATTCTTAAAGTGTACTCTGAAGGACGCTAGTTTTTTATGATGCTTATAGATACTGCTCAAAAAAGTGGAAAGTGGTCAAATAAGTTTTACAAAATTTGAATATAAAGTTAAACAGATATTCTTAAAACCCTTAAAACAGAACTCTTAAAACCCTTATTCTAAGCATATGCATAAGGAATTTCCAAGAAGAGGTATAAAGAATGCCATGTTTCCCCCACTTACCACTTCCCTCTTTCTTGAGACATCATCTCACATGGTATTTAGGAAATAATGTTACATAGACTATTAAACATTTTCAAATCTACTGCCATTATTATTCTTTCACATTTATGCAAGTTGTACCTGTATCTTAACTCCCATCTTAGTTATCTCTACCACTTGAGTACAATTTAGCAATTGTACTTAAAGAACAGCATTCAAGTCAAAACAAAACTTTTACTGAGTACCCAATCTGACACTCATACCTAAAAAAACTTCATAAGCTAAATTCAAAGAATTTTTTGAGTAGGATAGTAGATAACAAAAGATTACTTTTAGAGGTCAGTAGTCCTCTAATTTTTAGCCTTTTGACTTCTGTGAGATGGCCAGTTCAGTTAAGGATACAAAGAGCAGCTGGAGTGAAGGTCAGGACATTAGAAAATGGTCATATTCAGCATGATTTCCACCTTAGGGGTGGTGGCTAATAGGAAGGCTCTTAGATAACCTGTAACAGTGGTCTTTGGTTTAAAAAAATAATAAAGTTTTCACTTCTAATTGAGGGTGGTAAACTGAGCACAACGTCTAAATCTTCTGCTTCCCAAGGCCCTATTAAATGATAGCAAAGCAACTGACCTACAATGATGAAGAGAAGAACTTTCTGGAATGTGGGAAAGAATGCAAACCTATTAGTGAATAGAGGTCAAAGATGTAATAGCCTAGACTATACAGGGGATGCAACAATAAAGAGCAATCTCCCTAACAGAATCCCAAAGTAGCTATAGGCCCAGTCAGCAGGCCTAGAAGGCAGAAATAAAGGGGAGGTGGGGAGAGAACCACATAATTACTTAAATTTTTGTATGTTAGGTAATTGCTACCATCGTGAGCAGTCACTGCCTTATCCCCTGGTAAGTTTGATGTCAACCACAGGAGCTATTTCAGTTATCCAAGCTGTTCTTCTATTCTTAATTCATCTTTGATTGGCAAACAATCAAAGATTAGAATTATGCCAAATTACTTTTAAAGGTTTGTAGGATAGTATGAAGGACATATCATAAAAGAGAATAAAACAACAATAACCAAAATAAACTAGAAAATGTTAGCTAATAAAAGCAACACAGAGAATCAATCTGGAATGTCTGACGTTTTTGGAGCTCCAAAGTAGAAAATAAGGTGATAGAATTATTAACACATAACATTTATTGAGCACATACAATATGCTAGGCATTTTATGGAACTTTCTAAATATTCATTCAATTCAATTTTACCAATGCTATGGAACAGAATATTATTGAATATTTTACTCTAATTTTTCACATAAGAAAACTAACACAGAGTTTAAATCACTTGTCAAAGCATTGTAATTATAATTAGTACTTTATATAATGTCTAGAATAAGAAGTTAGTTTCCCAATGTTAAAGGGAGGCATGAAAAGGCTCTGCCTAGTGCTTCTAAGTTTGAGTGGGGAAAAGAAAAACATCATTATAAAGAGAAAATTCTGTAAGTTTCTATAAAAAATAAAAATAAGTCATCAACTAAGGAATAAGAGTCAATATGTAATCTAACAGCACTGATGCAAGAGTACAATGTTAGTCTTATGTCTAAGTTAATGTCTTCAAAGTTCCCAGGAAAATAATTTTTAACCTAGAAAAGACCTATTTGACACAGATACTAGACCCATTTTTTTTTTCAAGTGGCACTTGTCACTGGATCCACTGAGAAAGAAATGCAGTTCTAGCATATTTGACTCTTAAGTGAACAAAACTCGTATCATTATATTATAAATGCTATATAGTCATTTTTGACTTTTAGCATCAATCTATAGACAAAATATGGAAAATTTAAATATGGTTACCAAAGAGTGTTAGGTTATCAGTCTTAATAAGAAAAGAAAATATAGTTGACAGAGATGGGAAATAGAAGAGATAGGTGGTAATGCCATTATTTGAATATGAATGCTCAAGAGGAAATACTACCCAAGTAGATGAAACAGGAAATAGAAGTTTAAAGTTGATGTCAAAGTAACTAACATACAATATGAACCAACTTATCTCTCCAGCCCTCACCTCACCAATGAGCTTCAAGCTTACAGATCCAGTGTATCTTCTTGGACAGCTAATATTATTTCAAATTTAACATTCTAAAATAAAATGTTTCATTTTCCCCACCAACCTTCACCCCCTCAAAGAATACTACTTCTCTCCTCCAGGTGCTTAAGTTTCTGTGACATAGAAGTCATTCCAAAACGCCCAATCATCTATATTCTGCCCATCAACAAATTTTGACAGTTCTATCTCCAAAATATATCCCAAATCTTACTAGTAAAAGTAGCCACCATTATCTTTCATAATATTTCCACACCATTGTTAAAAAGATCTCTTAAAACACAAATGGTATCACTCTCCTTTTAGTCTTCTCACTGTTTGTAGAATCACTTTCAAATTCCTCGTCATAGTTAAGTGACTCTTTGATCTACTGCATCTACCTACTTTATCTCTTATTGCTCATGATATTTCAGTATGGGGATCTAGAGATGGGGCCCGTTATTCAGACCAAGGATGTAGAGAATGCTTTCTGAAAATCATGGTAGTTTCCCAACTGATTTATGCCTGTTGCTACTATTTCTATAACTCAAACACATACTTACTAAACTGAATACAAAAAGAAAACTGTTGTTTCTATAAAATTTTCAAAGTTGAATGCTTTGGAAAGACTTCTAAAGGCCAGTTGCTAACTTTTAAAATGCTGGAACTTTTAATAAAATGAGGTGTGGTCAAAATAAGGCAAAAGAGGAGCTGTTGTGAATTCTTTTTTTTTAATCTTAAATGATTCTGCATTCATTTTGCTTTAGCTATGTATAAGTTTTCATTCTTTTAACAGAAATTAGAAAGGATGCACTAAGCGTGTAAACTGGGCAACTTCTACATTTGCATTTTGATGCAATTTGGTGAATGAGCTAGTTAAAATATTAAGACATGATATATCTGATTTTCTATGTTTCTTTGCTTTAATGGATTTATTTGAGCCACTAACCAGTCAGTTCTGAGTCTTTCCTCGTGAAGGGCAGTTGCTTCTACTCTGGTTCAGTAAGGGAAGCGATGAAGCTAAGACCAAAGAGACAGGCTTTGTAGATCTGTTCTATTGAGCTATTGAGTTTTTCCAGACAGAATTCTCCAAAGATCTACCTTAAATGGGGAAAGAGAAAGTCTTGGAGGCCTTCAAGCACTCCTCTGTCTGTGACTTTACCGAGGACCACATCCCAGGCAGCCTGCCTCAGAGGTGTCTGATGCCTCCAATTCCTGGAACTTGCTGGAATGCTGTAGCACGAATTCATGGGATTTTTACCCCCAAATCCCTCTCCCCAAGCCCCACAGCGCTCAGTTTCCATTTTTCTATACTCTTCTCAAGTCAGTTGTCACCTTCCAGCTTTCCAGCTTCCAAATTTATTCATACCTTCACTCCTTGTTTTAAAAGGACTTAAGCCCTTCTCATTTCTTTACTATTATTGTAGTGGGTTTTGGGGAGAGAATAGGGGGAAATTCACATGTTGAACAAGAAATCACAGAAATCTCGCCACCGTCATCACTTACTCCCTTTGGAATGTATTATTCATTCAGCCCTTAGAGCTGTCTGAGTCCATTACTTAAATTTAATCACTTTGTTTTACTCAATTTATGACGTGTAAATAATAATTCCTACTTTGCAGAATTGTTAAAAGAAACAAAACAACATGTAAAGTGCCTACCACAGTGCTTGGTACTTACTGGACAACAAATGATTGTTTCTGTTAACAATTGCATTGAACTCAGGTGGTGAGTTGAAATTATTATAGCTTTGGAAAGCTAGTGTTGGGTTATCATTCTTTTAGTGGTATTTCTCATTGCCAAGTTCATTATTATATCCCAGGTCCTTGTATAATGCCCAATCTCAACAAATGTTTATTGATGTTTAATAATTACATATTATTCAACACATCAGTTAATTTCAAATCATAATGCAGCTTGATTTAACACATATACCATAATATAGACTTAAATTTATTCATATTTTAGATGGTGTTTGGTAACTAGATGAAATGATTAAAAAAGAAAATATTTTAATGTGATATTTTTAAAGTAGAATATAGTTTGTATATGTGTGTGTATGCATATAGATACAGCAAATGGTTTTATCAACAAGCATTAATACAAATAAAAATCCATCTCAT